TTCACCCACTTCATTATTTACGAATTCATCTCCTTGTAAGTCATCCTTGGTTTGAAATCAAATACCGCCCAAATTAAACCATACGTCCTTTTTTAGTTGTCAGTTAAATTATGTTCTTTTTCAATGAAAGATTCTCATCATCTGTCGGCGAAATCTAGAAGAATGTTTATTGAACCCACATCACGTAGATTGATAGTTAGAGAAGTTCCCTTCTAGCACGACTTGATCCTAATCACGAATGCTTTGTATGAAAGACCTGAAAAGCGGTTGAAAGTAGCTGATGCCTCCCAATGATAATGTGATAGTAAAGGCTGGAAATGCTTGATGCGTTCAGGGATGGCAAATTAACAGGAGGGCGAGTATTGCAAACAAGGTCGCCTCCAAAAAAAGTTACCACATCTTTGAAAGCACGGACGACCAATTAATTTGAATTAGCGGTTGAAAATAATTTGGAACCAAAAAATCATGAAATATTCGATGAATAGCAAATTGTGAGACTAAGGGGAAAGCATACTTGGCTATCAGCGGCCAACGGTTCGGCGCTTAGTCCCATAATAAGCAACGGAGTATCTGGATGGATGATGCGGCGGTCTCATCTTCTGATTACTGCAGCTATTTCGGGTATAGAAATTAAAGCTATCCATGTTGTAAGTCCCAACGTCTACTTTTATTCTCCATTCACTGGCGCCAGTACCATAATACCAAAACCAGAAGACATTAGAGTTCCTATCGCAGAGCTTGAAGAGAGAACTAGCTGCACCTATTTGACTAATTTTTTTACAAAGGACTTTTTCAAGCTTGTGCTTACAGTGAATACAGCAAGAGTCGAAGTAGAGGGAGCAGTGGGAAGGGAATAATGGTGTTGTTATGAAAGATTTGTTAAAAAAATCTTTCACGCATTAGATACATTGATAAATGCACCATGACAATGTGGATAGTATTCTAATCTGCATTAGGGGGTAAAAAAATTATAGAACCCAAATCTCGAAGACGTTGGTCAAAAGCACTGATAGATTTCAATGCATAATGAATGGGCACTCCTCGTTTCAGATTAAAGTGAATCACCAACTAAACAGAGTAGTTTTGATCATCACGATTTGGCCGGAGATAGATGAAGTGGTCACGTCTGTTCCGACCTTAATTTATGTTCATGATTTCTAATGATTAAAAAAGTAATCTTCCCAAACAGCTATGAGCACTTTTCTGGTGCGGGAGGTAGCCAAATTGCTCTTTTACAGAGCCAGTAAGAAAGGGATTTGCTCAGTCCTCCTACTTGGGCAAAAATTGGGGACCAAATAAAGTCAGTCCTACTTGTGTGAATGATTGGACAAGTAGGTAAGTAGATGGGGAGGTGGGTATAGGTCACTTAAGGGGGTTGCTGATTCCATACGTTGCTGACAAAGTGGCTGTTTAAAAGTGGATTGAGCAAAATTTGCTAACTCTCATATTAAAGACGAGAAGGAGGAGTGTACTTGTAAGTATCATGTAACAATAAGTTAATCAAGTTTTTTGGCATTGATTGCTTCAATGACTTGATTAACTTGTAGAGACTTGCCAAATAAGTGGGATTGCATATGTACAGTACAAAGCACGATTATACGTCGGTACGCCCCATTTTGCTCAAGATTGAGTTGTCAAGAGCTTGCAGTAGTTTTTGTAGACATCAATGTTACATTCACACTAACCGGAAAAGGAGAGTCTTAGTGGAGGCCACTAAGCAAATGGATTCCGTGCACATGCATTGATAGATGAAAGTAAGCTTTCAGGACTAGTCTACATATGCTTTTCATTGGTTTTTTTGAGTTGTCTGCCGGTTAGCTTGAGGTGAGAAATGGTCATTGTGCATTTTTACTTCGATGATAGGCAACCGGACATTGTGCTATTTGTCCCAAAGCGATCCACACCAACCAACCTACACTTTTAAGGCACAAAATTATGCGCTCTAGAAGAACCTATTCACTGGGAGTCGTTTACTTGCTGGAGAGCCAACAATTACGGGTAAGGTCTGTCCACTCCGTACAATACAGCCGAAATATACCTAGGAAAAAAAGAC